TAAACAAAATTTAGCTCACTAATTTTTTTTTCGTCATTTTAGTTTTTGGTCATAATTTTGAACCTTCCAACCTTAATATAATTAAAAAAATTTAATGAAACTTAGAGTGGAAGCAAGTGGCACTGGATAGAGGAGAAAAACTCCGACTATACGCTACAAAAGAAAAAACTCCGACTATCCACTACAAAAGAAAAAAATTATTTAGTAGTTGGTTTGGGGCCCGGTGGTGGTAGGTGTGATGGGATTGGGAATGGAGTAGGTAAATGGATTTTATTTTTTATTTTTACTTTGAGGTTGAGTAGGTAAGTGGCTTTTATTTCCCATTATGATTGAGAAAGGGCCCAAACAAATCCGCCTTAATCACAATTTAGACTTACTTTTTGAATAATCATCTCAAGTGTTTATTTAAAAAGTGTTTTTAAATTTATTATCAAACACTCAAAAAACTATCTGATCAAAACATGCACTGTAAAATCGCAAAAAAACCTACATTATATACCCTCTAAATTAGTAATTCTTTCCAAAGTTACGCCAAAACATGTGCTATATTTATGTCTTATCTCCAAATCTAATCTTTTGTTGTTTTTTTCCCTTAGCAAAAGAAAAAACGATGAGAATGGTTAGTAAGGAAAGCATAGCAAAAATATGGTTAATGAAATTGTACCTTTACTCTATATGCTTTTACGCTTATGTCAAATTGAAGTCAATGGTTATATTATTGTTCGAACTTCATTAAAATTTAGTCCATGTAATTTTTTATTACATCTTTCAAATGAAAGAAGTAATGAGTTTACTCCACTCAAAAACCTTTATACAATCGTTATTTTAACTTACATGCTAAATATTAAACGTCAATACATCATTTCTCTTTAGAAAACGTGTCACATAGGAAAACAGTTAACATTGGGTAATACCAATATGACAATTTTGAGAGGTTTAACAAAATCATAGAAACTGTAATGAGACTTTTAAAATCATATAAATGAAATTGATACCAAACTCACGTCACAAAAACTAAAATGGTTGTCAACCTAAGAATCGTGTTAAAACATTAAGACACGTTTGGTAACGTTCCCAATTCTTATTCTTCATTTTCAATTTTATTAAGAAATCTAAATCTTCGATAACTATTTATGCAGTTTTTTAGAAACATTTTCCAAATTTTATAGAAATTTTAGAAACAACAAAAATAAGTTCTTATTTCTCGTTCTCATTTCTAATTTGTTCCAACATAAATTAAAATTTTGTTTTATTTATTTTTTAATCCATGGAGGTTGATAGCAAAAACGAGCATAGCTTAACGGTAATTAACATATAAACGAGAACGTTATTAAACGAGCTCTTAATAACTTTTTTTTATAGGTTGAAGTTTGAATTTCCATCCCATATTTGTAACGTTATATTCTCAAAAGATAATTAAAAGAATTAAAATGATAATTTAATCTTAATGAACTAACAATATCCTAACATTGAAAAATATATCATAAATATATCATGTGATTCACTCATTTTTAAAAGTAAAATAGGAAAATCAATTGAGATATTAAAATTATATTAAAACGACAAAAAGACAGTTTTATTCGGTGGATATTTTAAAGGATTAAAAGGTATTGTAAATTTAAAAGATTAAAAAAATATACAAATAAAAAGATTAAAATAAAAAAAAAATTTCCACCACGTGCCATGCATTAGAAGCTGGATCTTTTTAAAGAATTTATACCTACCCCCAAGGCCAACTACTCGACCTACCAACCCCACGACGTCACTCGTTAATTAAAAAAAAATCGAATGAAATTACAAAAAAATATATTCAATTTGACTAAAGTAAGCATAGTTTAGTGATAATTGATATACATCTCAAATCAAGAAGTTGTGAGTTCGATCTTCCAATCCCACGTGTGGTACTAAAAAGAAAATATGTATATATATAGTCAATTTGAACTTTAAGTTTAATTTAATTTAATTTGTTATGGTAATTGTCCCTGTTTAATAGATGAGGATGGATATTTGAACTCTAACCTCATGATTTGATATATGTGTCTAAGACTGTGGGTTTGATCCGTATTGTACTAAAAAAAATCCAAATGAAAAGGGCTGAATGACTCGAATATACCATTTGAATTATGTTTAATGTTCTGGATTCTTATCGTATTGGTTTATAAAAACTATTTTTAGATCGTATATCTAAAACAATAAAAATTATGTTAATCCATTATTTTCGAATTTCTCACCAACCGAAGGCAACCTTTTAATTCTAAGTTTCTAAGCACTGGAAAACAATGAAAAAGGGAATAATCCGTTTTTAAGTTGGAAATAATCGATTAGGGTATTTCGAAAACAAACAATTCTATAATATATTTTGAGAAGGGGAGAGGGAGAGCGACGGCTGTCATAATTCACAGCACCCACAGAAATTGATACTGTTGTTAAGCACAGCACTGACATTGAAACTTCTCCTGGAGAAAGCACATATATATATATATATATATATGGACGCCACTGCCAACTCTCTTCTCTTCGTCCGATTCGGTGCCCCATCGCTCGCTTTTGCTTCTGATTCCAGGTAACGCTCTTCTTTTGCTTTCTTTCTTACGTTCTCGATCATGTTTCGGCCTTCTAAGTTCAACTGATTCAGATTTCTTTTGACTCCGGTTACTGCAAATTTCTTGGGATTCATTCGGCCGTTCAAGTTCTACTCTGTCAACGAGTGAGCTAGAACCGTTTTCCTGGTCATTTTGGAGCTTTGTAATCGTTTGATGTTTATGTTTTACAATCTAGCGTGGTTGGAGTTGTTACATTTTGTTGCCGATCTTTATTTTGAATTTTGATGCTAGAAGTCGGGGCTTTTTCCTCCTGTCCTTCTCTTTCACCTATTTCTTCGCATAATAAATATTGGTTCAATATAACCTCTTGGTCGTGTATGGCGATCTCTGACTGTGAAGCTTAATTCAGCTAGCTGAGAAACTGGGGTGCGTTGGCAGGGACCATGGAGGCCAAAGTAGGACTGTTGCAGCATTTATCAATCCGGATTGATTCTGAAATGTTTGTGAGGAGACCGAGCGGTTTGGGCCGATTTATTCAGCCAATTTCTGATAAGCAGAAGCTTCCAGCGCTGGTTTCGGCTTTTCGGCAACCTTGGAGACTTCCAAATCGACTCAGGAAGATCTCTGTAGAGACCTCCTGCTCTCGTGACAATATTTCGGGTAACACAAGATATTGAACTTCCAGTGTGATTAGAAATGCGCATTTTTTGTTTCCTCTTTCCTGGTCATTTCATTTGTTTGATTTGTTTGAGTTGCATTCTCATTGACGATTTTGACTTGGTGATTGGAAACATCATCTGACATGACAAAGCTGTTAAGCAAGTATGCTTAGCTGCGATATTTTGATACTGTTGCTTTTCATGGCTGACGTTGATTTGTAGACAAAATTTCTGTTATTTGGATTCTTACAAGAGTTCTGGTGAATTCATTCATCCATTTTCTGTCCCAATTTTAATCTCCATTTGTCTAAACAATCAAAGATTACGAAAGTGTGAACTCCATAGTATAATTCAGTAACACGAGACTGCATCAGAAAAATTTTAGTTATTTTTGAAAATGAAAACATCAGCATCTCTCATGTCTTATTGCACCATAATCTCAGATTCTCGTTTACTGGAGAGAAGTAATGGTGTTAACTAAAATTATTGAATGCAGAGAAATATCATTGATAGTGTTCTCTAATCTTGGGATGAAGTCTAATATTAAATTGGTGAAAGACTCAGAAAAGTGGAGTGACACAGAAAAAATTAGGTTGTCCACCTCCTAGGTGGAATCAACCGGTGAGCATAACTCTTGATTTTGGCCAATGAGTTAAGAATTATTTATATTCTCAAGTAAGCAAGAGGAACAAGAATGGACGAAAATGATACTCATTCGCGCTGGCAAGTGTACCTCTGCCCCCCTCCCCCACAAGGGAGTGGGTTCTAGTTCAAAGATACCCTCATTCCAAGTAAATGAGTATTACTAAAGTATTTTTAGGTGCTTTACATGGATAATATATAAAACGGTCTCAAACTGATATAGTGTCTAAAATCCTTGATAAATGCACTCTAGCAATCATCCCTCCTTCGATAATTATATTTCTTGTTTAACTGATCTCTCAGTGAGTAAGCACCGTATTTATATGACCTTCTCTTGGACTTTTGAGCATCCATTGCCCTAAAATCTGTTGAAGGAGAAGTGCAATACTGAGCGGTTACTCTATCTTGTTTAATGCAATTAATGACCCTGTTGCTAGACCCATGTTGAAACATGCCTTTTTTTTTAATTGATTAAATATCAATTTTTTATTAGTTTTTACTTCTTAAAATTATTTTGTTGTTGACATGCCCGATGAATAATCTGTATCATATTGTCTTCCTCTCTCAACCAATTGACAGGCTTATTGCTTTCCATTAATTATTTTGTAGGTTTGACATTGGAAACTGAAAATTTTCATCCTTTTGACAAAGATCTACTTTTAAAGGTTTGAGAGAATCCTTGTCATATCTTGCCTTAAATCCTTGTAGAGATGTGTGGCCGTGGTATACGTGCTTTTCTTTTTGATGTGTAGCATTTAACCCCCCACCACCAAAAACATAACTTTTAAAGTATAATTAATGAAATTTGAGCAGAACTTTGATGTGCAACTTTGAAAGTTCATCTGACTTGAATTTCGCAAAATTGCAGGATAAATCACTAGAGGTCCAGCCTTGTCTAAATGGACGATGCATATATCTAGTTGGTTAGTGTCTTTTCTTTTTACATTTTATAATTGGCAATTATTCTCTTGGATACTAAGTCTCTCAAAATGTTCATTTGCAGGAATGATGGGATCTGGAAAGACAACCATAGGCAAGATTTTAGCAAAAGAATTGAGTTACACATTTTCTGACAGGTTTGCAGTTTAATTGCCAACTAACAAAAGACTTGTACTCTGATTTGAATTTTAGTAAATAAGGAAGTAAAGAATATATTGCAAGAAAAATTATTGCCCAATTTCCTATATCATCATATCATTATTCCAGCATCCACGGTTTATTATGAAGCTGAACTGGGTTGCATGAACAGTATTGAAGTGATGTTGAGGACTGTACAACTGAATGAATCTAGTGGATAGTTGCAGCTCCTCATGCAGAAAATTGGATTTGCATAAACATGGGATCTAATATGCTTTTGAGCTAGGCTTTCTGATAGAAGAGTTTGGCATCTATAGTTTGTCTTCTTTTTTAGTACAAATATGCTAATGCAAGTTTCTTGTGGATGATTTGCTTTCATATTAATTCTGCATTACATTTCGGGATGCTACAGTGATACATTAGTGGAGCAAGAAGTTGGTGAAGCTTCAGTGGCTGAAATTTTCAAGCGTTATGGCGAGGGCTTCTTCAGAGATAAGGAGGTAAGTGATGAAGCATGCGATTTGATTGTCCTTCACATTTGTGAAGTTGGTGGTTCTTACAGTCTACTGTATTTGATGTTTTGGTTTTCAAATGAATCGAGTGAAAGGTGGAAAGCAGAAGTACGCTGCTTCATACAATAATTTTCTGTGAAGTGAAAATTTTTAATAGTTGAGACGTTGGGGGACAAATGTTAGAATGTAATTTTCCCTTTTCCTCTATAGAATTGAAAGGATCCAGGATTTGTAGGTCTTAGTGTAGAACGGGGTGTCCAAAATGCCAGGTGAATTTTTCAAAGTTAAATTTGGTTTATAAACTTGAATGGATTGGTTTGCCTCCACTTAGGTTGAACCTTGGTAGACATCTAAGAAGCACGGACACTTCAATTTGGGAAACGTGTCCATGTTGGATACTCTGACACTCGGACACTTATTTGACACGTATCGGACACTTGTTAGCTCCATAGATGTGTGTCACACACTAGTTATACATAGTGAATATGGATTCAACACTTGTTATAGGCATGTATCAAACACTTTTCAAGCATAAGAAATAGACATAAATAGTAACATAGGACAAAATAATAAATTTTGAGAGCAAAATACATCGAACTCAATTTTTAAAGTATGAAAATGCATAAACTTATTGATTTTGGATTTCCTACTTGTATAAAAATGATATATACTTAAAAAAAAAATGGTATATTTTAATAAACATGTCCTTGACGTGTCCGTGTTCTAGATTTTTAGAAAATGACGTGTCATATCTGTGTCTCGTGTTTGTATCTCTACTTCTTAGGTAGATTGGGTTTGTTTGTGAATACTAAAATTAGTTTGGATTGAACTGAATCTATTCAAGCTTATCAATTGAAAAAGTATCTCTTTATTTCTAATATGTTTAGTTGTATATATGTCTTTTTTTGTTTTATTTCATTTCACAACTCTTTTAGATTTTTGTATTCTCCAATAACTTTTAGGAACTAATTTGTTCAAGTCTTTGGAATAGTACTTTTGGTAACGGAAAATACTATTTTGAACGGCCATTTTCAATTTAATGTGTTAAAATAGGGTAATTGATCCTTATTATTATTTTTCTTGTTTAATTATTAATGATTCGAATGATACGAACCAACCCAGATATTATATTGGGTTGACGTTGGGTTTGGTACACTACTTTTAACTAAAGGTTATTTGGTTGAACAAATTCTGTGTTGGGTCCAAAATGTCTTGGCATTCAGCTCAATCCACCCCAAACACATCTATTGTTGAACATTACTATTTTTATATTTCTAATCATTAATAAGTTGCTGGAAATTAACTTCTAGTCCGTTGGCTCATGCTCACCTCTATGACATCCATTCCCCCCTCCGGTCCCAGCTTCAAATCTACAAACTTAACAAATATGGAATTATTAATCAGTTGGGTGTATTTATTGATTAATTAAAGGATTGATTGTTGATTTCCTATAATTAGGAACCGAACTGCTAATCACTGATTGATTGATATTTTAATAACTATTTGAAAATTATGTCCTTTTCAAATGTGATGGTTTTTAGCGATTCTTCCTATCATCCTAGTAACTACTGCTCTGTCTTTTTCACCTCATCTAGCTGCTATGATTCCATGCAGCTAAGTAAAATTTTTGCAACTATAAGCTGTTATAGCCAGATCAAAGTTAGTGACAGTGATTTTCCTGTTAGACTGAAGTGTTGAGAGAACTATCATTGATGCACGGGTTTGTTATTTCCACTGGTGGAGGTATTGTTGTTCGGCCTATTAACTGGTAATTTATTTTGACACACACTTTCTATTCGCAACGTGGTCGTCTGTTTTGTTAAGCTGTCCTATTTAATTGTAGGAAATATATGCGGAATGGGATTAGTGTCTGGCTAGATGTACCGCTGGAAGCCTTGGCAAAAAGAATTGCTGCAGTAGGTACCGACTCTCGCCCCCTCTTGCATCATGAGTCAGGCAGTGCCTACACAAAGGTGGTGAATTCATTTCCCATGAGATAACGTTTATCCAGAAACTATCCTCTTTTCATTCATTTGGTTATTCGGGGATGTTGCTTATTGGTAGCAAATTCGTGATGCTTGATCTGCTGATCCTCACACAGGCTTTCAGGCGATTGTCGATTCTTCTGGAGGAGAGGGGTGACGCATATGCCAATGCTGATGCCAAAGTCTGTTTAGGAAGTATGAAATTAGAATATCTTGATATTCCTTAATCTGCATGGAAAAAAGGAAGTAAAAAGTTCATAACATGACATCTTCCCCCTAAGTTCCAATGTATGTTTACTTTTCCAGTATCTTCTCTTGACTTTCAGGTCTTGCTACCAAACTGGGTTTGTCAGACGCATCTAATCTGACACCTGTAGATATTGCCATAGAGGTCTCTCTCTTAACAAATTTGGATTTTTTAAAATTTATTTTATGGAACTGCTTGAATTGTAAGTTGTATTTTGATTTTCTTTGCAGGCGCTTGTACAAATTCAGCACTTTCTGGAAAAGGCAGATGATTATTCTGCGGCAAATCTTCAATAAGCCTCTGTTGCCAGTTTTCGAACATGGCATGGTAAGTGTTTCTTTGAATTGATGATTTGGTGTGAGTAACCTTTGGAATTTCAGTGTCAGAAGTGTATCTATGAAAATTTTGAGATAAATACAACTTTTGGGTGTGTAATATATTCGTGTATGCATGTACTGCATTTGAAATGAAAAACAAATTTGTGAATTTTAATTTGGTGTAGCCGTTGTGATTACCATATACTCCATTGCATTTGAAATTAAACCACATTTGTGAGTTTTAATTTTTATCTTTGATTACCATATTGGTTAATGGTAACAAAATATATGTTATTTTATTATAAAATGCCATGAAATAGTTTGAATATAGATTTTTTTTTTTAAAATGCAAATTAAGAAATCTTGAAAGAACTCGTTTGGTAATTTTCTTCTTTCTTATTTTCTATTTTTTTAATTGGTAAAATTTCTTATTTCTGGTTACAGTTTGAAAATTATTTTTTGTTTCTAATTCTCTAAATTTTTAAATTAGAAAAATATTTATATAAGAATTAATTTGATAATGAATTATGCATTCGATCCAACAGGTAAAAAATGGTAGCGGTTAGTTGACTAACAGAAAGTGATGTGGCATAATTATATTAAATGACGTGGTAATGTTAAATAATTTTATATTATTTTTATCTTTTACGTGTGATTGTCTTTTTTTCCTGTTTCTTTCTCCGCTCTTCCCTCTCTTTTCCCTTCATCTTTTTTGGAGAGCCCTTTAAACTTCCTCGTCCCCTTTGCGCAGCCTCCTAATTTAGTTCTCATCCAAGCACAAATGTTGTGAAGAATTTAAGGATTTGAAAGCCATAATGAAGTCTACTATGCTCACTAAGCAACATAGTAGCAGAGATCTAGCTGCTGATCTTTTTTAAGAAAAGTCATCGATTTTTTAATAGGTTTTCTTCCTAATTAGAAGAAACCACCTTGTTGACAACAGCTGCCATTGATGAGGAAACACAGCTCTAGAGAGCTTCAGATGGAAGAAGGGGGCATTTGTGGAGTATGAAAAGGAGGAAAGGAGGGTTTTGATAAATGGCATAGAGAGAGAGAAGGGAGACATGACGGGACCATGCCATCAAAAATCCCTCCTCTTTTTTTTAAAGAAAATTATGGTGTTTCAAAGAAAGATGGAATGGAATCGTGGATATTAGAGAAGATGAAGGGAAGGGAAGAGAAAAAAAAATAAAATTATTTAATATTACCACGTCATTTAGAATTTACCAAACTCATGTACTATTTAAAATTATTTTCTAAAGATTTGGACCAAATTAATTAATAAACACTTTAACCAAAAGTATATTTTACCTTTTTAATATTTATTATACACATTTTATAAGTAAAAAATTGATGAAATAATAATTTATTTATGTTTTGAAAAGAAACAGAAACAAGTTCCTTAAAAATCAAAATCAAGAAAGAGACCAAATTGTTCCTTTTTTATCTCAAAATACATACGCAATTTTTTAAGTTCAAACTATGGTCATTTACAAAGATTCAACCTTAACCCGTACGGATTTCAAAAAATAAATATACACATACTCATCCAATTTTCCACCTTTTTTTTGTGGTTATAGTATATAGAGAAATAATTAAATAAAATCAATCCTAACTTGGACTTGTAGGTGGAAATCAATATAAGGTGAAAAGTCAATGTCTTAACAAAAAAATTATATTGAATTTTCTTCTAGCCTGGACATCAAAAGATGCACCTCGGTGAGGTAGGCAAATTCGAGAGTGAATTTAGATATCCTATATATATATATTTATAACTGGGAGTCAAACTTTGCTCCCCTACATTCAAGATATATTGCTCGAGTTTTTGGTATTAAATTGATTAGGAGATTCGAACTTAGAAGTTTTCAGCATAACCAAACTCTTGCCCTTTCCTTTGGGGAGACATAAGTACCAAAATTTTCAATAACCAATTGATTATACAATATTTACGCTATAGATTCTATTCATTCAGCGGAGACTATTTTAGTTCCCAATGCCAACTCCAAAAGATAAAAGTATTTCTTGTTTTCCAGTTTGATACAATATCAAATACATCCCTCATCTCAATACATTTTACCTAAGTAGCAACATTCAACTGCTAAATATGTTTGTATCAATAATTGTACGCAATTCAATCACTATGTCCTAAACTTTTATCTAATCAAGTGACACTTTAATCATGACTTAGAACGATAATGTAACATTACTCTGTTAAATTTACTCGTATATACATACTTGAGATTGATTGAGACTTGATATGGCCGGAGAATTCAGATATCATCGGACCAGTCGCCGGGATCGTTATCGTAGAAAAGGCCATCCACAATCTGATCAATTAGCGAATCAATGAAGGTGCTGCAGCTGATGCTGAAGATTCGGCCTACTCTGTTTCTGGCGTTGGAGGAGAAAGCAAAAATGGCCGCCAAAATCACTGCTCCCAAACAAACTCCTGCCGCCTCCTCAATCCCCTCCAGATCCATCTTTCTCAACACTGAATTTCCCGTCACCACCTCTACTGTTTCAGTCGCCGCAAACACAATCTGCAAACGTTTGATTTTGCCGAATAAATTAATTACTCGCTAAGAAGTTGTTTCAGTTTGAAGATCGATCGATCAATCAATCGTACTTCTATTTGGCTATTGTTTCTATTGCCTAATCTAATTTTAGACTTACGAGATCGATGAAACCTAGAAACTCACCATGGCGAGGCGACCGGAGATGATCTCGAAGTCGTGGCTCTCCTTCGAACTCTCGATGTACTCCGACAGAGTCGCGAAGAACGGAGAGACGTCGTCGTTTCCACCGCCTCCAGAGACTCTCCTGATCCTCGTCTTTATAGGGACGATCGGATCCGATCCGAAGGATCTCAGAGTACATAGACGAGGCTGTAGAACAATCTTGGCGGTCTCCGGATCGCCGGACTTAGGTTTCGGAAGCGAGACGGGGACGGCCGGCGATCTCGGGGGGAGATCGGGCAAGGAGGATCTCAAGCGGCGGCCGCAGAGAACAGTACGAGCGGGCGCCGCCATGGGAGAGGTCTGCGATCGAGGGCGGAGAGATTCGAGGAATTTGAGTACACGGACACGTAATCATATCAGGGAAGGACTGACGTGGCCGTTTTTCTGTACGCTAAAGTACTTTTCAGTTGGGTGAGACACGTCATCTCACTGATTGGTTCTCCCCTTTTTTGTTCTTTTTTGCAACAATTAAAAGCTATGCCACTATAATATTAATATGTATAATTTAGGTTTTTTTTTCCCCTCAATTTGATCTTATCCTTTGTGAATTGATTATTTTTTCAAGGCTTTAAGAAAATAAAATAAAATAAACGATGATATATGAATTTTAAAAACTATCACGAAAGGGAAATCGACATTTCTATCGAAAAAAATCAAACAAAATATAAAAAATATCAATAAAATGTGACTAATATATACATAATATTAATATTAATCATTTTTACGATTTTTTATTTCTCTAACTTCGACATTATTTTTATGAAATTGAATTCTAGACATATAATACCTTAATTGTAGTATACAATAGATCAATTTTCTATAACAACCAGAAATTTTATTTCCAAGACAAGTGGGTTATTACGTGCTAAGTTATGTGTATTTTTCATCAAATTTTAACAACTTATAATAATAAGAACTAATGAAAAACGTAGTATATAAAAGATTAAATTCAAACTTTTTAAAAGGTTAGAAACTATATGTTTATCCCCAAGAGAGATGGTTATTTCCTTAATTGTTGGCCTTTCTTTATAAACTTAAAAGAGAACCATTGGATTCTCTTTGTAAGTTATAGTCGCGATTGAATAATTACTACGACAACATTGCCTGGAAATTTTAGTTAAATGAGTCAATTTTAAATCTAAAAATTTAATTTTAATAAATTAAATTCTGAACTAGAGTTTTTTATTATTACAGAGGCTTAGTATGCAATCTCTATATTTTTAATTTTGATGAGTCCTTGTCGAGAAATTAGGACTGCACTAGATCTTATCGAATAATCAGATGTCTACAATCAATGAATTCTGTAGATATTTTCTCCATCTCTTATAGTCTTATTTTCAATAATTTAAACTTTTTAGCTCATTTTTCTAAATGGAAGTTTGGTTTCTTGACAAGGGGAAACTACATAATCTTCCCCAACTCGCCAAAAACGCCAATAGTTAACGTTAACAAACAAGATATCTCTGATACTAATAGTCTTGTATCACAACCAGAAATTCCTTCGCCCGCATAAGCTATAAACCTTATGCCTGTATATCAGAACTGAACAATAACGGAAGTCCTAAGCTGGGAAGAACAGAAACCAACTATGCAACAAACCATCATCTAATGGCAGCAAAAAACGAAAGAAGGGAAGTTCCTTCCATATGAACTTGTCAACTCAAAACGAAAGGCTCACAGCAGTCAAAATTTAATTTTGCTCCCACTTTTACTCTACTTTTTACCTCGTCCAGTCAAATAATTCAAGGCCAGCCCAGAAAATCTTGTAAGAGTTAGAAATAATTTGAAGATGGAACGGCCCTTTACTATTCCCTCCTTAATGCCCCTCGCTCTTTTAGCTAGAACTGGCTCTGCTGCCCCCACTTTCGGACTGGTTACTGTCATTTCCTGCACTGAGGCTAATCAAGTAAAAACGAATTCATTGCTCAAGAAGCATAGAAATCACAGACAACCTGTTGGAGTCATGTTTGTCAAGCCACGCAATCTCTCTTCTGTTACTCGAACAGCTCTAGTGGAACTTCTCACACCTTGTGTGATTTCCTGCCTGCAAAAGATATACCAAATGAGTCTTCTGTCCTGTCCTTTGCAACATATGTTTATAATGACTGGGGGAACAGAGAAATTCAAAATCTTATGTGTTATGCCTACCCAAGATCGCTGAGCTCCATGGTCAGATCACTAATTTCCATGCCAGATAACCGAATGGCTGCCATAGTGCCCGGAAGTTCCTCCCTTGTGACATCCATGAGCTTCTCTAGTGATTCGGCCGCTCTCTTGAATGCCTTCGACATGGAAAACATTGGGGATAACAAATTTTTGCAATGTGAGCCATAGAAAGAATAGCATTCAGCCACAGCCATCTGATGCATGATGCATCGCGTTAAATTGAAAAGAAAAACTGTAACCAAAGTTGAAGAATACAAACCAGAAGAGTGGGAATTGCAGAACAAAAGAGCCAGGTCGCAGAAATAGCAGTCTGCAAGGAAGGTGTAAAAATACATAGTTATCAGCCCAACTATATTGCTACACTTCCCAATTACCAAGAAAAATACGAACAGAATAAGATTTTTACTGCTTTATAAAGAGGTCCAAACGTCGAATTACTTCACAGGCTAATCAGACTCCAAGCAATAACTATGGAATTTAGCACAATTTCCCGAGTTCATTTGAATTCAAAGGCCCTAATATCACAAGAATTGGCAAAAGTAAAGCAATTACCAACAAAATAACGTAATTGCTCGAGAAATATTTTCAACCATTGGCGCCGAAAATACGTAAATGGAAATTTTCAAGTACATCAATTGAACTATATATTCCAAATTCTGTCAGTCAAGAGAAATCAATCGCAAAATTTGGAGGCGGGGAGGGCGGGAATAGGTTTTGGTGCACTGCTAGGAAAGACAAATTTCTCGTGCTTTGTAACTAAATCCATCTGAATTAAACGCATCCAAAGCCTTTAACTTACAGATTCTTAGAGTTGTCAAAAAAAGAAAAAGAAAACTCGGATTCTTAGTGAAACCAGTAAGAGAGAGTGGTTTACCGCGCAGGCAACGACATTGAGAACAAGGATGTGGCGTTGAGTTAGCGCCCACTGAGAGAGCTGAAGAATTGCAGGAGAAGAATGTCCAATAGTCTCCGTATAAGGCGATGAAGTCGATGGATCAGACGGCGATGACGATAGCGATTGTGATCGCACCGAACGCAAAGCGAGTCGTCGATTCGGCGGCCTGAGATTGTACGACAGCCGGCAGAGCTTAACGGCACTGGGCAGTGCGGGAGTGAGGTTATGCTTCGCCGCCCGGCACGGTGGCGGCAATTTCAAAGCTCCGAACATTGCTGCCGCTGTTCTTGCTCCGCTAAGCGATCTCCGAGCTCGGAAGCTGAGGCATAGCCGGGAGGATGAGAATATCCTGGGCCAGCGGCGTAGCCCACACTGTTAAAGGCCCAGAACCGAAATATCCTATTTCATAGTATATAATATATATGCAAACCTATATGGATTTTGTAGACTTTCCAGTTATTTAATTTCTTAAACATACTTTAAACTTCAAAAATTTTAAATTATATTCCAGCTAAAACTTGGATCAACTATGTAGCCTCATTCCACCCTCAACACAAATATCTACGATCAAACTATTTTAAAGGAAACGTCTTGATTCTTTATTTCTTCTGAATTCAAACTTAAACTTTAGAAATTAAGGTTAAGGTTGATGGTAGTAATTATCTCATCCATTGAACTATTTTCGCACTAACATAACCTTCTTGCTGAGTGGTGACTTTTATCACTTTTCTCTAATTCATTATAAGAGTTTGATAAAAGAGATCAATTCCAAAAAATCTAAACGCCTTGATATCCACAAGCACAAAATCAAATTCTGAGAGATCTCCATCTTCGTTTTTGGGCAAATTTTATGCTGCTATGCAACCCAAAAGCCATCCTTCATATACATACTAATTCCTAAACATAATTATACCTTATACGTCATACAAAGTTGATTGTAATCTATAAGCGGGGGAAAAAATTTAACCAACAAAAAAATGTAATGTTCACTTCACAAATAAACTACAGTCATTTTCCTCTATGAAGCAAAAACCGTTTTCCCACTGCATTTATCAAATGGTCATTAGTTACTCCAAGATGCAGAATATGGAGCTGAATAATCAGCATGTCTCTAAACCTACTAGAATAATCATTAGAACATGAATTCCCTAATTATAAGGGGAGACAACCGAATTCCAAATGAAGGAATATTTTGCACTCGCTATAATGGTGCGCGGCATATAGATTTTACTAAGTAAACGTATTTACACAGAGAACCGACAGAAAACTCACTTGTATGGTAATACATGGGGGAACTCTTCAAGAGGCCAGTGCCCTTGTTTCTCTGCCCACTCACTACTTGGTTCATTTCCAACAATACCTCCTTTCTTCCAAGGATCAATCTCGAAAATTGGATCAAAATCACTTGTGGAGGCATTAGAACTTCATAACTTCGCTCTCTAGCAGTTACGAATGAAGAGCACGAGCTCCACCGCGCCATCAGAGCAGCAAATCAATCTGTGCAATTGGCAGAAGAGAACCCGACTGCTGCTGTTATGGGCGGTCTGTCAGCTGCATCTTCCTTTTAGTAAATATTGTTTGTTAGCAATGCCACTTTCTGCTCCATACTGCTGTCTTTTTAGCTCTTGAACCAGAAGGCAGGACAGATTGTGATGGTGGACACCTTCCTTTTCCTCCAATTCTCATTTAAAATTCCTTGAATATCAGAGGAATGAGGCAGGCTATAGTCGAAATCCGTTGAGAGACACCAAGAGAGAAGCTGCATTTGAGGAACGGATCTCTATGGACAGGTATGCTATGATTAAACAAAATTATAATGATTCACCAAGTCAGAGAAGACGATAGAGAGAAGGGAGAGCCAACAAGTATTTTCCTTGGTATTTACATCTCATATATACAGAATTAAGGCCCCTCAAACTTCTTACTACAAAATTCCCTAACCATGGTCTATGCTATAACATATTCTCCCTAACCGAATATGCTTTGACTTTTAACCATATTTATACACCTGTACAAATTTATATTTCTACTCTTCTGTGAACCATATTCAAATTTGATTGAAACTTCCTCTACCTCCCCTCCCAGCCCTCCTAAAAAAAGGAGCAAAAAGTAATAATAATTAAATTAAATAATGCCTCCTCTGATAGGACTTCTTTATGCATCAGCAAAGATTGCCTACTCAGACGTCAAAGTTCATTGGTTGCTAGGTTTGCACCACCAAAATTGGTGCTGTCTTATTTCTTTTTCCATTGAGTGGAACGTGATTACTCACTAAAATGTCTAATTAGTACCAGCCCTCATAACATCCTCCAATGGTGCGTTGCAAAAGAAACATCTCTGACAATTCAAAAGATGCCTGGAAATACAACCATAGCACGACCGGTGTGAACAAGGTTTAAAACACGTATCAGCTTCTCTTTCATAACAGATGCAGCACATGCTATCATTAGCATCTGTTTGGTCACTGAATGCTGAATTATCGAAAGCTGAAGACTCCATTCGATAGAGAAGAAGGCTTAAAAAGTTCTCAAGCCGTTCAAGTTTTGCAACATAACCATCACCCCTAAAGGATCCAGCCTGTAAAAATCAATGATAAGAGTTAAGATTCTATTTAGGAAAAATCTCTCCCATTCAAGCAAGTGATTGCATCAAAACACAAACACACAAGTGCAGAAAGATTAAATAAATAAGATATATATATATATATATTAGAGAGAGAGAGAGAGAGAGAGAGAGAGAGAGAGAGAGAGAGAACCCAGTTGTAATCCAACAGAAGCCGTAATCCACAGTTTACAGTATTTAGACATTCCATGCTTGCAAAAATGCCAACAACGTCATTATATTCTTTGTTCTTCAGCTCTGCACTAGCATCCCACAGATTCAAGATGATTCCAACAAGAGGAGCCAATATCATGCCTCTGTTTACTTTCTCCAAAGATTGTCCATTGCGTCTAAGTGACCTGAAAATATTGTTGAAAGTTTATGCATGCCCCTAATGACTTCAATTGTAGCTATGCAATCATTTAATATTCCCCCGATGTTCAACAACGTAAAGAAAAAAAATAAATTTGCTCCGACTAATCTGAAACTTACAAGTCAAAGAACTCTGCATCTGCTGCTGAAGTTACATGGTTCAGTATAAAAAGTATCAACTCAGTCAACCTTCTAAGGTTTGTATCAGTTCCTAACAGGAATGCTTGAGGGATCTCGCGTGTAAAGAATTCCAGAACCCTTGCAAGATTGCATGAGAGGTCAAATATGACATTGCATTTTCTTTGTTGAGAATCTAATACCTGCAAAAGAGAGATTCTATGACAATTACAACCATGCCAATACGAAATATGATGCTCTAAATAATTAATAAACAAAAAGTTTCTAATTGAAACGCATAGTGCTCTATAGCAGCTATGCGATTAAATCGTATAGCACACTTCAGGGATAATTGCAGGTCTTCTTACTTCGGATGAGAATTCTTTAACATGGATGCGTTCATTAGCAGAAAAAGGAAAAAGGATATTACAATGTTGAAGACAAGATATTCGTGTACCTGGTATTTTTCTTGCATTTCTCGAATTGAAACTGAGAATTCAGTCATAGTCCAGCTGAGAGTATTGAATAGGCGATTAAGAAAGGGTGAGAACAGGCCTTCATCAGTGACACACGCCTCTCGTAGTAGTGCCTTCGTAGAGCAAGAGAACAGGGTGAAAAAAACAAACTGATGGTGAGAGACTAATAAAAATAGAACTCCAAGAAATAGGAAAAGAAAGATCATTTTACCTGAAATATAATAGATGATGATGATGATTCTCCATGTTTTGAAGAACCAAAGCCGGAACCTTTGCACAGTCGCAGAAGAATGTTCGTAACAGGGATCCAGGATCTGTTATCAAATGCTAATAGCAATGACTTTGGCAACTTTTTGGTAGCTGCTTCATTGCTCTCAAAAGTGACCAAATATTCTTTGTACTGTACAAGAACTGATATGGACTGAAGAAGCAGATCTTTTAGATCTGCACTTGATATCCTTGGATCATTGAAGTGATTAACTACAAATGTTACCTGATTAATGGAGACCACAAACAATTTACTATGGCGACTGTCGATTAATTATATTCAGAAAAAAATATTTTAATTTGTGAAAAAGCTAATCAAACATCTAATTATGAGAGATTATAAGTTGGTATATAGAAGCCAAAATAAATACTCAAGAGTCAATATCTGCAACGTCTGATGTATTGAAGTGACAAGATCTATGCACATCATAGTTCCAAGAATAATGCACGCATAATGTTCTTCTTTTCCTTTCTCGTTGCTTGCTTCTCCATTTAATTTTGGCAATTCTTCCTCT